CACCCGTCCGATATTGATGCTCTTTGTGTTTAATAACACAAATCACATGTACGTCTGAATTCTGAAAATGTAATATGTTAGTTTTCGCAGGACAAATTTTGTTGACACACTTTAACAGTTTTGTACAGTAAGCATGTGTTACATGTACAGGTTTTTAGCATAATGGGCATAGTGAAAGACTGTATTTAATCCGCATGAAGATAATGAACAAGTAAGTGCTCCAAAGTTAGTATACGGTAGCTATAGAGTAAATCTAATAAGAAAAGAAATGCAATTTTTCAAACGAGAAAATGGGCATGTGCAAAAACTGTGTTTAGCAATTAAACACTTTTCTAAACACTTTCTTGCTATCAGTTTGTAAACATGTTTAAATACTAAACATGTTTAGAGTAAGGATGGATAGTGTTTAGCCATTGAACATTGATGTTTAGGAATTGGACACATAATGTTTAGCCTCTAAACATGTTTAGAAAGTGATAGCAAGATAGTGTTTAATTGCTAAACACGGTTTTTAGAGTGTACCTTTAATGTATATATGAAAGTAAATGTACTGTAAATATTTACTTTTTAGGCACAAACAAGCGCACTTTAGAGAAGGCAGACGCGTGAAATATTAAATAGATCATTCCGTGCTGTGTATATTACAATGACTGTATAGGCTTTGTTCGCGTTGCGTAAACCAGGAATAACCGACGCAATCTGTAGTGGTGACGCGTTAAACCTCGCCCATGCAATCACTGCTATCAGGGAAAATTAACCCAACAGAAGACGTCCGTGGCCATGGAGTTTGTGTGATACAGATTGATTTGGTTTTCATATCGCAAACGTATAAAAACAAAACTAATGGTTTCATGATTCGATATTGCTCATGTTTTTGTTGAAGTTTAAAGGTTTCCCTTTAGGTACAACCATTGACCAAGGATGAAACAACTGTACCATGCGCTGCAAACGTGCCAACATAATTGAATAAACCGAAAAAACAAACTGCATGAAAGCAAAAGATTGTCAGCGATGCACAAATTGATCATATCACGGAAATAGTGCCAGAGAAACTCACTGCAGTATGTAAACAAAATGGCGATGACCAAATCAATCGTATCTTGTACCGCCATCTTTGGAGCCATCTTGCTCGGTGAGTGTGAAATTCTTCTCTTTTTTTATGACATGTTGTAAAATGTAAAATATAGTCTGTTAGTAATCAATCCTTTTGTTTATTTCTGGCACTCGTGACAGAATTAAACCCATATGAGGGATTTTTTGTCAAGCCAGAAGTAAAACGCTCACAAAGTAGAGCGCTCAACACAAAACAGTGGTGTTTTTGTTTTGTATAAACTGGGAATGCCGGCATTTTACACCTGTTTTGCAGGATCAAAGACGATGTGATGGTGTCAAATCAAATTGCTGCAGTGCTGGACGCGATCCGATTATCACCAGTGCTTTTCGTTAGGCCCCCCAAAAAAGTCTCCGGTTTCTGGTATGCGCCGTAGCTATGCGCGTCGGCAAAATGAAAAAGGTTTTTTTTTTCAATAAAAGATGATGTCTCAAAACCGCCGAACTCACTGGTTTGAATGGAATCCTGCTGCTGCACAATTTTAACGTGTTTTTAGAATAAGCTTCATGTGGCCTCTCTGGACTCCCATACAATTATTTGCACTAAGTTTAGTCGGGCACCATTTGCAGTAATCAGCCGACATTTGAAGCACAAAAAAAAAAAAAAAAAACAGGTAAAAAAAAAAAAGCCGCGTCGCCGCACAACTTTTTGGGCAAGCTCCATACCAGAATCCGGAGACTTTTTTGGGCCTTATTGGTACTCCATTTGTTTTCAGTGCGTTCTGTGGAGGTGAGTTTGTCGAGAACGAGTCGTTACGAACTGGAGGGCCATTCAACCTCGTTCGCATGTATCGTAACAAGAGACGATATGGGCGGAGACGATCCGTACTACATCTTTTGGAATCTGGACGACAGCTTGATCAGTATTGTTCGAGAGACATCCACATCGAGCGACATCCTCAATATTACCCTGTACAGAAATATGTCGGGTTCAGTCCTGTCGTGTGAAGTGTTCTTTTTTGGCTCCAACAAAAATGCGACTTGGACAATCGACGTCATGTGTAAGTTGCCTTTAAAGATGTATTCCCCGTGCTATTTTTGAGTTTTACCTCGAAAAATATATATATATCTTTTTTGGTCACTTGCTTTTTTCTTAACAATTACTGGGAATGGGTCTTTAAGGGAGACTTTCCCATAGACGTGCCAAAAACAATTTCAAACCCATATGTGCCCTAACCCAATATTCCCTTGTGCTTTTTCCACAACTTTTGGTACGTTTACTAATTAGACCACGAGCAACAAATATGACCTAATGGCGACAAAAAAAATCCTCTAAAGGGGGGCTGTGCCATTAGGGAGACAGTTATGTGTCTCCCTAATGACCGGTGTCTCCCTATTTTCGAAGAAATTACGATAACATGTCTCCCTATACATTTAGTAATATATAGTTATTCGCTTTTGAAAGAGACATCGAACGAAACAAAAAAAAAACGACGTTTAGTTATTAAATTATTTCTTCCCAAAACTCAAATTATCAAATAGCTGCCAGACAATAATGGACCGATCCAGTAAGCCCCGCCCACTGCGCATTGGGCAAAATAACACGTGCTGCTCTCCAATGCCACACTGCATTTTCCTGCCGCGCTCATCATACGCGCGTGCACGCATGTTGGACTTTTGTGTACGCATGTCGGACATAAATCACGGCTGTGATTGGTCAGAATACCATGGGGCGGTGCTTACTGGATCGGTCCATTCGGCTCACGCAGGGTGAGTTTATTTGTGCGCACTGAATAAAATATTTTTTTTAGAGGGTTGCAGACGCCCAAAGTCGGAATAATGCATTTCGTTCGGGAAAAAAATACAATTTGAAGACAATAATCGTTAATTGAAAATTTGTATGCAACTTTTTTTTAAAAAGTACATTAGATGCGTTGGAAAATAGTATATAATTATGATTTTCCTTAATGGTTGTTCCGACCCCCCCCCCCCAAAAAAAATCCCATTTCAGATCCACCGGACCTTGTGACTCTAGATGGGAACTCTACCCACTCTTGCGAGAGTGACTCGATGTGTAGCGCCGATGTCACGGTCGGGCGTTACTACCGTTTCACCTGCAATGCCTCCGGTTCGAATCCCGCCAGTAACATCACCTGGCTGATCAACACCAAGGGCAGATGGGGAACGACTCAGCAAGCTGAGACCGACACGGACTGGGATACTTCGGGCCATATCAACCTTCAAATACTCCCAGAGGATCGACACGGCAGCGTCGTGTGCAGGGTGATGTTCCTTGACGAAAGTACGGTGTTTAGAGAGATCGTCATGCAACTGCAGGTCGTGGAGCCCGTGGAGGAACCGCGTGAGTATTATTAAAGGTTCCATGAGATGGATTTTTCTGAACAATACATTTGTGCAACTATCTAGACTCCTCTTAAATGTATAAAAACTGTTCACAATTCTTCTCGGTTTATACTTTTATTTGAAATGTTTAAGTGCCTTTCCGGACAACTGAGGACACCGTTGTTGTGATGTCATTTTGAGGAAGACACTGTTCAATTTAGTGGTTTTCTGTTACGACTGTGAATCCCAAAATTTGATCATTAGTGTTCAAAGCAATCCATGGACCCTCACCAGTTTTAGCTGTGTAAAATCCTTCACGTTATGAAAGGGCTGCGGTTGGGATTGGAATTATATGCTTGGCTGTCAGTCATCATGGCAAGACCTCAGTTTAATGCTCAAGGTCAAATGATTTAAATTTCAAACCACATCAGCCTTTTTTCACAACATGCAGGAGTTTACACAGCTTACATAACACAACACTGAAATTGATTAATGCAAGGAACTTGGTCACAGTGTCCAAAAATGTTGTTGTGATCAATTGACCATTGTGCAGTGATGCGTGAATGAAATTAAATGCAACTCATAGGGGTTTTGTCCAAGGATGAGAAGTATCTGCACAATCAAAAATGTTGAGAGGTTGGGTGTTTTGGTTAAAAAACAGTCAGACGGACACTTTTTGGTGACATAGTGACTTTCGAGTTTCTGTTGCTGTTTTCCTAGCATTATAAAAGTGTTCACTTTTGAATGAGACATCGAACGAAAAAAAAATCTACAGACGTTTTGTTGTTGATTTTTTCTCCACACATTTCAATTGATCATAATCTGCCAGCCAATAATACAGCTCTCATTGGGTTCATTGTGCATACTTAGGCCAAATAAAAAAAAATATGTTTAGCGTCCTGCCTTTTTGAAAAAAAGGGAAGCAGGAGGCCCTTTTTCCCCCTCCAAAAGGGCCGCCCGACCAGGCTATTTTTTAAGATGGCCGCCATTTTTTTTTAAATGGCCGCCATTGGACTCAGGAAATGGCCAGCTTTATATGGGCTAGATGCAACAAAAAAAGAGGCCAACATGATGTTACCGTTTAAAATTTATCGTTTTTTCGGTGTAAAAAAAGAAAGGAGGGGCCTCCAAAAAGGAAGCAGGCGAGAACGCCACACTTGTTTTTTTTTACTTGGCCTAAATGAAAGCCATTTTGCAAATGGTTGCAGCTAGGTGCCCAAAGTAGGAATAAAGTAAATCTTTCGTTTGAACATAACAGTCAATATAAAATTGAGAAAAAAACAGAGAAAAAAAAATCCACATTTTTTTTTTAAAGCATTGGTGGCAACTTTAATTTACGAATAAAAATATAAAAATGTGGAGAGAAAAACACCTACTTTAATGAACGAAAATCCGAGAATTACCAGAGTCGGTTTTTCTTAGTAAATGAGGAGTGTTGGTTTAAAGTGCTTATAATTATGATTGATCACTTTTGAATGAGACATCGAACGAAAAAAATCCACCGACAGGTTAGTTATTGAATTATTTCCAAAAAACCCAACACAAAACCAATCCCATTTCAGATCCACCAAAGCGCGTGACTCTAGATGTGAACTCTAGCCACTCTTGCGAGAGTGACTCGATGTGTAGCGCCGATGTCACGGTCGGGCGTTACTACCGTTTCACCTGCAATGCCTCCGGTTCGAATCCCGCCAGTAACATCACCTGGCTGATCAACACCAAGGGCAGATGGGGAACAACTCAGAGAGAGATTCCCGCGGATTGGAGCCGGTCTCACCAAGCTGAGACCGACACGGACTGGGAGACTTCGAGCTATATCAACCTTCAGATACTCCCAGAGGATCGACACGGCAGCGTCGCGTGCAGGGTGATGTACCTTGACGAAAAGACGGTGTTTAGAGAGATCGTCATGAAACTGCAGGTCGTGGAGCCGGAGGCACCGCGTAAGTATTATTATGTCTTTCTGGTCATTTATTCACCAAATAAGTAATTTTGAATTACAGCATGACTTGTGGGGTTAAGAAGTCCTTTCATAATTCTTAAATATAACTTTTACTAAATTAATACATTAAAGTTATCACACTTTTGCTTCAGCTTTTAGAACACATCCATAATTTAATGTGATTTATAAGATTCTTGACCTTTGTTAATCATCAAGTGTCTTTTGTTTACTTTCATCTCGATAGTTAGAAAATATCAGATGACAATTTTATTTGGTTAAAGACCTGTTGACGTTATGCCTTGTCAACTACCAAAACGTTTTAATTCAAGTAATTATTGTCGTGAGCTTTGATCATAATATTTAAGTTAACCTTTATCTGTCATTTCCTTTGATCTTCTTTTTCCTCGCATACTCATTGCAACTTAATTCATTATAAATTTACACCTTAAGAACTCCTACCCCGGGTGATGCTGATTATAGTAGCTTTTGTGAGTGGACGGTGGGGCGGCGGCGGTGAAAATTTGAATCTGCCAAGCAGAAAATGGCTGCTGTCTTGTTGCTGGCACAACTATTACTGAAGCTTCACATGTCTTCCTGTACGTCTTGGTTGTACAGGCTTCAGTGCATTTTCCATTGTACTTATGATTTGCATTTTCATGGTTATGTAACCACGTGCTAAATGGGATTCAGCTTTCTGCTTTGTTCCCTGTGATTCTTTTGTAAGTGCCATGTGCAGCCCACAACTCCTGTTGGGTTGTAATGCACTCAATTGAATGACCATTCATCCATAAATTTCATTAAGTGCTACTTAATTTATTTTTAAAGGCTCCATGAGATGATTTTTTCTTAAGAACACATTTTGTACAACACTGCAACTATCTGTCCCTCTTAAATGTATGGAAACTATTAGACATCCCGTTTTGGTTCATTTGATTGAAATGTGCAATTCTTTAAAATTGTTAAAATATTTCCGTGCTTTTTCCGGGCAACTGAGGGCGCTGCTGCTGTGATGTCATTTCAGGAATAAACTGTTCAATTTGGAGTTTTTCAATTCAATTTTTGAACTAAAAAAAAAATGCTCATTGCTCACAAGTGACAGTCAGTGTGTCAGTGAGTCATTCAGTCCATGAGATCGGTGCAAAGAAGAGACTAGACACACAGATATGATCCTAACAAATCGCAATATATGATTTTAACTAGGACTTTGAAATGTTGTTCCTCTGCCATAAAACCCAGAACTGGCGAAATGGGTGATGGTGGCCTGCATCCCAGCGGCGGCGATTGTTATTGCTTGTGTTATTGCCATGGTGATTGCTCGAAAACTCAAACATCAATCGGCACCGCGCCAGCCACGCCCACCAGTATATGCACCTCCGCCATCTTCTCATAAAGAGGTAACATTTAAGAACGGGTTATGAATACCTGCTAATGGTACCCTTGGAACACCTTTTGTCGTCATTAATTATACCTTTGGGAGACACCTGACATTATAGGGAGACATTTTAATGTCTCCTTAATGTCACAGCTCCTATTAAGATGCAAAAAAATTAGGCTAGATCGATTGCTCGTGGTCCAAAACATATATAAATTGGGGCTAGGTGACATTTAAGATAGAAACAATTTTGTGCACAAATCTACGGGAATGTCTCCCAAATGTCCCGTAATGTGAACATTTTTAGTCACCATGTGTTCGTTAATTCGGAGGTCACATGTTAAATTCTCATTTTAGAAAATGTCTCCGTTCAACTGTACAATCATTTTTAGTCATAGCAAAATAGCAACTCAATTAATAGCAGGAAATAGTCACATAGCCCGGAAAGAAGATAGCTAGAGATGAACATAGGTTCCTTCTGCAATATCGAAGTCTCGATATTTGCCAGATCCAACTACACCGTCACTTGCTATGATCTCAGCCCATGCATGCGTGAACAAAGGCATACACATATTGCCAGATGTACGAGAGCACCACTTCGGTATAGTATTGCGGATTTGAAACTCATCAAATGACGTTATTCCTCGTACAATCATGGAACATTGCGAAAGAACTGTGAAAAATCATCGATTTATTTTCACCTTTGAAACAACGAACCGACAGTGTTGCACAGTAACGTTTACGCTGATGATAATCTCACATTTAAAAGTGAAACAGAGGAGAACTTTTAAAACATTTTAAAAGTATATATTTCCTGCTTCAATTAATTTTTTAATGAAACAAGGTGAAGAGTCACGTGTTAGAAGATGACGGTCTGTATCAGGAGCCAGTGGTTCACGACCAACAAACAGAAAGATCAAGTTCAGACCAGAACGTCCCCTTCTATCACACCACCATCAACTAATATCAGAGAACCCCCAACATTCGGAAGGGTCGTCGGTGAAGACTTCTCACAATGGAAACAAGAACAAAATTAGTTTATTTTCGGTGTTTAACAACAATTGATATGTTGGAGTTGTTTTATCATTGGTCCCTTAACCTTAAAAGGGCCGGGGCATATATATTGCAATAAAAAGAAAATCAGGGTCGCCCCCTCAACTTTTACCGCGATACCCTTACATGTACATAAAAACAATTTTGCTGACATGTATCTATTAGAATAGGCTATCTCTATATATTTGTTAAATTTGCACGTCATGTCAAACGGTTAGCTTAAAACGTAAACCATAATCTGCTGGGGGAGATTACCAGGATCCTTTTTTATTTTTGTTGTGATGTGTATGTTATGTATGCCCCTGGCACTGTGGTATCAACAAAATTAATACATTATGTGGAGTACGCCCACGTCGCCAAGACTAGACGTGAAAAAGTGGGATATGAACGAAGTAGGACCCGGTTGAAAGAATCTAGACCGAATTGTTCAACCCAATTGGCAGAATGAAAATCTTGTTGTGTCTATTATTAGCTTCAATGGGTCTGTATTGTGAGTACTGCAGTTACACACTGCTGGTTTTCCTATCCTGGATTACACAAAGACGAACCGAAATTGGTTCTCGACAACATGTTAGGGCGCAATTTAACGTGAGAAGTGTCAGTTTCCGACGATTGCACACTTTTTGTAAAAACCACCAGTTTGGAAGAAATTATGCACCCGATGCGAATTGTATAGCACATTGTGTATATAAAGTAACACCCTTCCCCCTCCCCGTTTGTTTGCTGGAATCTATCACTAAAGTTACAAGTGTATATGTGTTGTTTGTGTGTTTAATCACAAAGAAATTAAGTCCCAAATCAGATGTATATTCCTCCCTATATCTCTGAAAAATGTAACATGTGCATTTGAACGATAACTTTTGGTGTCACATTGCAACAGTTTTGTAAAATTTGTTGCATGTACTAATATCAGGTGTTTTTTTTTTAGGATTAGGATTTTTTTTTATGCCGTAAGGTTTAGTTATGGTGGTAATAGTGGTATACATATGTACATCTACTGGTATCTTCGGTGTTGTTATAAAATATAACTCTATAAGTACAAAAGTTGCATGGAATTTATCAAAAGATATCTCAAAAGTTAGCTTGAATTACATGTACATTGTACATGAAAAGTCAGTTGTCAGAAGTTATAGAAATGTAATTTTCAGATGAAGATGTGGGCATAGGGCCTTTAATTTTGAAATGAAAGTGCTGTAAATTTACTTAATTTGGCAATAACACAACGTTGCAGTGTGTCGTGTACTTTGGGGAATGCAGACAGAACACATAAAACTCATGCAGTCATTCAATTCATAAATGACGATTGTTGGTTTCGTTCGCGTTCCATTCACCCGGGATAACCGAAGCCGTATGTGTATTAGTGACGCGTCAAACCTCGCCCATGCCAGCACTGCTACTGAACTTCGGGAGAATTAGCATAACAAAAGACGTCCATGGCCCTAAGGAGACCTTTGCCGAGAATTGGAAAAAAAAGTTTCCTTTCAATTACTGTTCGAGGGGCGTGAAGTGCAAGTAACAACAGTGCAATTGCCTACTGTGCAGGAAGTAGTGCGGAGAGTTGTGCAGGAAGTAGACGCCGTTTTATTTTTATAAAGAAAATGGCGATCTTGATTTCCCTTCTCGTTTTGATTTCACCTGTTGCCAGTGCGGTTTACGGTGACAGTGTTGTCAGAACGACAGCGGGAAAAGTACTCGGAATGGAGCTAGAAGCGAACGGGACTGCGCACCGTGTCTTCGCCGGGATACCCTACGCCGAACCGCCCGTACGTTTCAGCGCGCCGGTTGCCAAAACCCCGTGGGGTGAAAATGGGGCATTCAACGCGACGGCGTTCGGTCCGGCCTGCCCACAAGATGTGGCACGCCTTACTGCCTTCGCACCGGACTGGGTTCGAATCCCTGACCCGGCGATGGAGATCAGCGAAGATTGCTTGACTCTGAATGTCTACACGCCGGTTATTGGCAACGACACCAGCAACCCCTTGGCGGTGATGGTGTGGTTTCACGGAGGGAGTTACCGAAACGGCTTGGGAAGTGTTTATGACGCGTCTCAGCTCGCCTTGAAGGGAGACGTAGTGGTTGTCACCATGAACTATCGGCTTGGACCATTCGGGTTCCTGTACACGGGGGACGAGAACGCACCAGGGAACGTCGGCTTGATGGACCAGCAGCTAGCTCTACGATGGGTGCAGGATAACATCCATGCCTTCGGGGGTGATCCATCCCGCGTAACCCTCTTCGGCCAGTCTGATGTCCACGGTTCACCCACCGTCCACATGTTCGCCAAGGCTAGCCGGTCTCTCTTCCACCGAATGGCAGCGCACAGTGGTGTCATGCAAAGCGAAGACCTACTGGAATCCTCGCGAGCGATCGAGGATGCCAAACTCTTCGCCCAGTTCGCAAACTGTCCCAGCAAATCCAGCGGTCCCCTTGTGGAATGTCTCCGGGGCAAGACCGTCAAAGAAATCGTGGACTCCTACGAACCCTTCTTCTCGCAGCGGAAAAAGACTTCCTTCGCGTGGCGCCCCGTTTTCACTCGCGACTTCTTCGCATTGACTGGAGACTCCTTGTCGTACGACCTCCTCTCTGTCTTCAACTCCGGTGACGGTTCTGTTGCTTTAGAGCTCATCAAAGATTTGTATCCAGGTATCTTACTTAGCAATGGTGCAACAGAGGAGCAGTTGAAACAATGGCTAGATGTGAACATCGACAAACCAGACGTGATCGACATAGCTGTCGAACGCCAGTACATTGAGATCGACACTATGAACGACAGCGTTGCCCGGATGAAGGGTCTTTTCAACATCCAGCTGGACCGGACCTTGTACCAATACGGCGTCCAAGCACTCCGCGACCTGCGCTCTATGTTATCATCGAGCCGCCTCATGATCTTCGATTACCGTACGTCGACGGAGACCCGCTTCCCCGACCCGTACGGCCTGGTGCCGCACGGTGAGGAGTTGCCGTACGTCTTCGGATTGCCGCACGATGAGTCGTGGGGCCTTGGCGCGCAATTCACGGACGAAGAGCGGATGTTAAGCCTCTGCATGATACGATACTGGTCCAACTTTGCCAAAACCGGGTGAGTAATTTCAAACATTATACGTTGTTGCCGGAAAACCATGTAGGTCCAACTATATCATACGACACCAGCACTATTATTTAGATCCTGCATGTCAAGTAGACATCTATGATCTAGTTACAAAACACTATTAGTGCAGCTATGCAGGTGATGCAGTAATATGACGTTTATCATGCAATAATCCTGATCGATTTATCGTAAGATGAAACTTCACATAAATACTTTCTGCATTTTTTTTCAAATTTGTAAAAACGATGCTGTCAAATTCCATGCTTTAGAAACATAAGTTAAAAAACTGTCCTGATAAACGTGAGATGATTGTTTTGCAAAGATGATTTATGAGTTTATTTATGTACGTTTTACTCGTTTTGAAATTGATTGCTTCTTTGCTTTCATGTTTTGAAGGTTTTCCTTCGACCAAAACCAGATTTTTTACATGTAAGATGAGTGCGAATCCATTAGCTTTTTTGTTGTTGAGATGTACATGTTGTGCGGACACAATGGGAGGGTGCTCTTTGAATATACATGAGTTTACCAGTGTTGCAGTACTCGTGCTCGGTACTCGTACTCGAGTACTTTTTGAGTACTCGTACTCGTACTCGAATGTCAAAGTATTCGTACTTGAAATGACAGTACTCTTACTCGGGCAGCAAGGTACTTGTACGCGACATGTCGAAATTGTACTCGATCATCAAAGTACTCGTACTCGAATAGCAGTACTCGGGGGAAAATGGTACAGCTTGACTTTATACACCATGGCATTATTTTATCGACACTTTTCAGTTTGAAATGGTTGATTGGCTTGTGGAGAAAATCGAAGTTTCCTGACTTTCCTCTGTGCACATCCAGATAAACACAATTAACAGGTAGCCGTGATTGGGTCTGTATATAGGTCTGACTGGGCCTGGGCCAATTACGCACAATGAACCATTTGCCGTTTGGCCGTATTCGGAATACAAGTACGTGTACCCGTACTCATACTCAGAGGTACAGTACTCGTACTCGTACTCGGAAGTATAAGTACTCGTACTCGGAGACCTGTTCTTGTACTCGGAGGTACAAGTACTCGTTCTCGTACGCGGCAACCCAAGTACTCGGCACTCGGAAAAAGTACTCGACTACAATACTGGAGTTTACCACTCCAAAAAGTGCCTTCATCATTTTGTGTCTACCATAAACTCCAAAAGGCCTCTGTAGAGTTCGAGGAGAGGAGATAATTGACACTCCAGTTATCACCTGCCAAGTTCAAAAAAGTAATTTGTCATAATTCTTTGTGAACAGAGATCCAAACAATAACGAAGGGGAAGATGCTTCATCTGCCAGCAACAACACCTGGCCCGAGTACGGAGAGAACGAGAAGTACTTACTCACCAAGCTCTCAACGGAGACGGTCGGTGAGAGGTACCGCAGCGAAGGCGTCTCCTTCTGGAGGGAGTACCTGAAGGAGCTGGAGGCCGCTGTTGAGGAAGCCTGCCCCGCACAGCCGAGGCCGACTCAGGAGAGATGCGAGAAACAAGTGATTGGCGAGGGCCTGGGGTTGGCTCTCACACCGCAGCAGACCGACACGCTGATCGAATCGTTCATGTTCATCGTCGTGGCTTTGCTTTGTCTGTGTGTCATCCTGGTCGGGGTGGCTTGTGGGTACAAATACAGACGTAGAGCTGTGTCGAGCCTCCACTATCAGAGCATGGCCTCAGAGGAAGGGGTTGTTAACGAAGCCACGGGCATGGGGCTGTTAAACCGTGGCTTTCGACGGGATGAGGAATCTCCTGGGACCAGCGGATCCAGCAGCCCAGACCCTGTTGGCGAGCAAGCTGCCCCACTGCCGAAGAAACACCTAGAAGATGACATTCCGGAAAACCGAGATACAAGAAGGAGCCATGTGACTTTCTCGCAGGTCTACAACGAAGAGGAAGATGTGCAGCAGATGTTCCCTCCTCCACCAGATGATCTGGATGATGGTGATGATCCCCCGGTTGACAGCATTGATCAGGAAGAGGGCCTTCCCCCTCCTCCTGAGGAGGACGGGGATGATGATGTCCCTCCTCCTCCAGATGAGCTTGAAGAGCTCAATCTCTCTGATGAGTTCCGCATGCCGGAGGAAGTCGCCTCCTCCTCACCGGCTACCACCGGCAATGAGGACGATGACGGCAGCCTGGCATCGGACCCTGATTCAAACGAACCCCCTGCGGACGAAGGGGGTAGTCGGGTATCCGACCCAGCAGATACGCCTGTGAATCTGGAGCCAGCCCATGACCCACTGGACGACTTCCACTCCCTCAACCGCAGGCAGTCCGACAACTTCTACGATAGGCTTATGAACGCTATTCCGCAGTAGCCATGTTGGTAAGATAATGACAGTCACTTCGCATCGTTGGTCGCTAAATCGAGGGTTATCTTTCTTTTCTTTTTTTGATTTTTGGCAGAATCACCATAATTGGAATCAAATCGAGGCTACAATTGCCAAACAAAAATCTGCGCTCCGTTTATAAAGGCCAAAAAAAGTGCGGCGACGCTTTTTTTTTTGTTACCATTTTTTTTTCTTCAAATGTCGGCTGATGACTGCAGATGGTGCCCGACTAAACTTATTATATGGGCGTCCAGAGAGGCCACATAAAGCTTATACTCGATCGTAACCCCATCGAAAAACACGTTAAAATTGTGCAGCAGCAGGATTCCAGTCAAACCAGTGAATTTGGCGGTTTTGAGACATCATCTTTCATTGAAAAAAAAAACCTTTCATTTTCCCGACGCGCATGGCTACGGCGACGCGCGCGCATACCAGAAACCGGAGACTTTGGGGTGGGGGGGGGGCTAACTCATTCAAGAGGCCAGTGCGGTTCAGCCTCGTTGACACGGTGTCGAGCAGTACGCTCCCAGTATACCTGCTACTAGTGGAAACGAGGCTGAAAATAAAGTAGGCCCTGGGGACATGATTGAGTGTGGCTTCTCTTTCATTTCCCCTCCAATTTGGCGCATACCAGCCTTTTACCGCCCCCCCCCCCCAAATTTGTTTTTTTTTAAATCCCTAAATACAATTATTTAGAGGTTCATGTGACCGTCAAAGAAGTGATGTGGGCGAAGCTGAGTTTGAGGGGGGCATTGAAAAGCTGACTTGAGATTTGAAGGTTCAATTTATTTGTGCGTTTTTGTTTATATGAATAAACTGGATTTTATTATTATATTTTTTTCTTCTTGTTAGTATTAAAACTACAAATGTAGCATTAGGGAGACACGTTATCATAATTTCTTCGACAATAGGGAGACATCGGTCATTAGGGAGACATTTTCGTGTCTCCCTAATTCCACAGCCCCCCTTTAGAGGCAAAATGTTGCTGTCGCAACCAGGTTATACATTGTATCTGTTGCTCGTGGTCTAATTAGTAAACATACCGAAATTTGCGGGAAAAGGACAAGGGAATATCGTGTTAGGGCACATTTAAGTTTGAAAAATTTTGTGCACAAGTGTACGGGAATGTCTCCCTATGGTCCCATTTTCGGTAATTATTATTTCTATTATTATTATTTTGTTACACAGATTTTTAGTTAAAGGGGCTACGTCATATAGGTTAACTTTCTTTTTGGATGTAACTGTAACTTTAAAAGGCCCAATTTCATGGCACTGCGGGACAGTTAGCAGAGAAATTGTAATTACTATAACTAAAGAGTACTTTTGTGCTAACCTTAAAAGCACTATTTCATGACAGAGTGTGCTAACTGTCCTGCAAGCATGGAGATTTTTATTCATTGATTCAGCCTCTGATGTAAACGTATCTTTTGCTGCTCTTACTGCTTACGGTCTCCATGAAATAGACAAAGGCTATGTTAGGAGAAAATCGTGTGTTTAGCAGCGCCATAAAATTGGGCCCAGGTTGCCATTAGCATGTTTATGAATTTTAAGTTTGGATGTAATCTCATTTTATCATGTTTATTGAATTTGGTAAATACGATTTATTGATACGATTTTTCAATATTCTTTTTACTTCTACTCAGATGATATATTTTTAAAATTAAATCATTGGAATTGATGTATTAGTTTTAATTTTGCATATACATGTACATCCCTGCAAATAAGACTGCACATAATGGATATATAAATAGTGCCTGAACCGTAAGGATTGAACATTTGATTTTAGTGTACCTTTGCTGTAAGTTTCAGAAATGGATGGATTTGGGGGTTAGTATTGTTATAGCAAATATTGTTACACTGACCTGTTGTCAGTTTGTGTTTATAGATGCTAGAAAAACCAAGAAACAAATGCTGTTCTTGTAGTCTGGTTCCTTGATCCTACTTCAGACGAAACAGAGCCATTTGTGGACGTCGGGGAATTGCCATGTCAGAGAGCAAGACTAACTGGCTTGCACCCGTTCACGGATGTGTAACCGATTGCATACAAAATGTGGATTTGGTAAATTGGGGGGCAGTATTTGGAGGGGAAAAAAAAACAGTTTTGTTGCAAATGGAAATTGATGCAAAAATCCGACTTTTCTTGAAAATGACAGCACATCGGGTACCAAGATTTAACAGGATGCTTGAGAATGTTATTCACTTACAATGCAGAAAGGTTATGCGTAATGATTTGGTGGGTTTTTTTTATGTTTGCAAATGTTGTATATTACATTTCAATATCTATTAGTCTGTTGTTTTATTAGTCATTCGTTATTAAGTTTAAAGTCACTTAAATTCGGAGTTGTATTAGTGTTCGCGCTGTGGTTGTGTTAAACAAGAGCTTTGATTTTGTTTCATGTAAGTTGATTTTTAATTTGGATTGCATTTTTCGCACGTAGCACACAGCACTGTTCGAGCTATATTGTTTCAGTGTTTTGCACAATTCTTTCGATATTCAATTCTTATCTGCTACATATGACGACCAATCAACAGACGATATTTCATTTCAATACAGTAAGAATTTCATGAGTCATCGTTTCCACAACGAGTGTGTTGTTTTTGTTCCATGGAAGTTGACATGTACCAGAATTGTTACTGTTCGCACTTAACAAACTACATCGTTGTGGTTATATTATTCTTACTGTTAGACGAATACCCTCGATATTTAATAGACTTGTGTTACACAGTACGACCAATTAATTAATAAAATTTCAAAGCAATACATTAGGCATTTCTTGAGTTATCGTCTCAACAAAGAGCGTGTTTTTTTTGTTCCATGGAAGTTGACATTTATCAGAATGCATTGAGGTGATTCTTGCAAACCCACCTGCCGTTGTCATTGCGGCCTCACAAAAAGATTTTTTTTTCTCATCAAAATAGCTGAAAATTGGTGACTCAACACCAAAACAAATTGTTAGTATAGAAATAGGATCAAAATTATTGAACACGTGAAACTAAGGGTTTTTGCTTACCTTGAGTTCGGCAGAAAATCATGAAAACATGAGTTGGTTGTGTTTAGCATATTTCGGCTTGTCGACAGTGCTGCAAATAACAGTCCCTATGAAAGTAACAATCTTGGCTTAAAGATGTACCACCGCGCTCTCCAACTTCAAATCGTATTTCTCCTTTTTTCTTTTTTGGTCTAATTTATTCTGACCAATGAGTGTTTTTCAGTGAAAAAAAAACAAAGAAAAGAAATGTCTTTATTTTCGAGAGTTGGCGTCTGCTACCGAATAGACTACTTTCTGTCCTCATATAGTCGATGCTAAAAGGGGCAGGAACCAGTCCACCCTGTGCGATACGATTTTTTTTTTACTTTGTAAAGTAATGGGCTGACTTTCTTTTCGGTCGATGTCGTATTCAAAAGTGACTAACTTCTGTATTGCTAGTAATATAGCTAAAAACAAAATCTATTTTGTTTTTTAGGATGAAACTCGTGAGTACCACGCACGGGTAGTGCAGCTTTAATTGTACAATCGCAATGCACTGTACACAATTAGCAATTTCGACAGCTGAGGCACATGATGCGATGCACAATTCCTTCACCGCTTATGGACGCAGTTTCATCATAAATATGATGCGTTGCTATGGTAACCAGGCTTCATCTTTGCAGCTCATTTGCAATTAGCGGTCAGGGGCAATTTCACGGAGCTACTTAGCACAAAAAATTGCTTAGCACAAACAAGTCTGGCGTAGTAAAAACAGGTTACCAGCCAAAACTCCATGTGATTTTCATGCTAAGCAAGCAACATGTGAACCAATCACAAGCAATATACACCACATGGACGTGGTTTGTAATCCTGTTTCTATCAATGAAGACTGTTTATGCTAAGCAGATTGTTGTGCTTAGCAGCTACATGAAATTGGGCCCTGCTCTGTGAAGATTGCTGTCTCTTCACATACTAAACAAGGCAACCCTATGGCAAAGCTGGCCCTAGAGTGCACGCAATCCTTTTGCTGAATGGACTCATATTGGCTATTCACTTGAAGTCCATTCGCGCAAGTGGTCTACGTAATTTAACTTCTTTTTCTCAAAAAATGGATGATTTTTCCCAAATCTTCAAAATTGTGCATGTTAGAGTATTGATTGATGTTCCTCTTGCATCCTGATGAATTTCTGCCTTGTTTTGAGAAAAGTCAATTTTTGGCCATTTTTGACTAAAAATGTAAGGTGAACCCCTTGCTTTTTTTTCAATTTTGGCCCAGGAATGAAAATGCTTGAAAGTTGCTAGAAAAAAACATTGGGGGCTTTAGAACGCATTCCGAATCGATATCTCGATAGATGTGCTATTAAAGGGGAAATTCCGTCCAAAATGTTAGGTAAAATCACTTAAAAAATTAACTTATTTTTCTCAACAATAATTGAACGATTTTTGCTAAAATCTTCAAAATTGTGCATGTAATAGTATTGATTGATGTTCCTCTTGCATCCAGATGACTTTCTGCCTTGTTTTGAGAAAAGTCAATTTTTGGCCATTTTTGACTAAAAATGTAAGGTTAACCCCTTGCTTTTTTTTTTTCAATTTTGGCCAAAAAAGTGAAATGCTAGAAAGTCTTCCAAATTATGCATGTTAGAGTATTGATTGATGTTCCTCTTGCATCCTGATGAATTTCTGCCTTCTTTGGAGAAAAGTCAATTTTTGGCCATTTTTGACTAAAAATGTAAGGTTAACCCCTTCCTTTTTTTTCAATTTTGGCCAAAAAATAAAAATGCTAGAAAGTTGCTAGAAAAAGAAATTGGGGGCTTTAGAACGCATTCCGAATCGATATCTCGATAGATGTGCTATTAAGGGGAAATTCTGTCCAAAATTTCAGGTAAAATCGCTCAAAAAATTAACTTCTTCTTCACCAAAAACTGATGATTTTTGCCCAAATCTTCAAAATTTAAATGTTAGAGTATTGATTGATGTTCCTCTTGCAACCTGATGAATTTCTGCCTTGTTTTGAGAAAAGTCAATTTTTGGCCATTTTTGACTAAAAATGTAAGGTTAACCCCTTGCTTTTTTTCTCAATTTTGGCCAAAAAATAAAAATGCTGGAAAGTTGCTAGAAAAAGACATTAGAGGGCTTTAGAACGCATTCGGAATCGATACCTGGATA